CCCTTGAAAGCAATCCTCAGTGTCCAGCAGCTTATAACCTCTTTGCCGTGGCCAGCAGCAGAGGTAGAAGAGAGTCTGGGTGTCTAAGCCGCGGCTGGGATGTAGGAACCGATTCCACTCAGCGATGTGCTAGCGGGTTTAAGAAAGGGGTAGTAACTCCGAAATGCGTTGCCATAGATAGCAGGTCCTGGAAGTATAAGCGCTCGTCTGCCAGAGAACCTCTGCTCTATAGGTAACAAATCTCAAGTGCCCGGTGCCGACAAGACTTGACTTCCTTGCGCAACACCACTGACATTGCGGTGCTTCCTCTCATGGTGCGTGACAATATTTTTCTTTTGCGAAAAACCTTTCCCACACACAGCACACGTGAACAGTTTCTCGTTGGTGTGGGTGCGCTGATGCCTCAGCAAGCTAAACTTACGCGGGAACCCCTTGCCGCACTCCGAGCAGGAGAAGAGATTCTTATCCGCGGCGTGGATGATGTGATGAGCGCTGTAGGAGTACGGTTTTTCCCCCGTGTGCTTCCGCCGGTGTTCCACCAGGCGAGACATCAGCAAAGCACTTCCCGCACTCGGAGCAGGAATAGGGCTTCTCCCCCGTGTGTCTTCGCTGATGTTGGTCCCGGTGGACCTTCTGGACAAACCGTTTACCACAGTCTGTACAGGAAAACAGTTTGTCTTCCATGTGGAGCTTCTGGTGCTTAACCATAGTCGACTTGGATGCGAATTGCCTCCCACAGTCCGAGCAGGAAAAGGGCTTCTCGCCCGTGTGGGTTTTGCGGTGGCCGATGAGAGTCGACTTGGCCGTGAAGCGTTTCCCGCAGTCGGCGCAGGAGTAAGGCCTAGCCTCTGTGTGGGTAACCCGATGCCGAAATAGGTGCGACTCGTTGCCGAAGCATTTGCCACACTCAGAACAGTCAGGACATGTCAGGACATGCGTAAGGCTTTTCTTCCGTGTGGACCCTTTCATGGAGGATGAGCAATGCCTTCCGTGTGAACCACCAGCCACATTCGGGACAGGAAGCCGGCTTCCGTCCTCTGTGTTTCCCCTGGGAACAGACAAAAGTGTTCTCTATGACATGCCGCTCCTCTTTGAAGGGGACCTTTCAGACAGCAACATACTCGAGGGTCACCCAACATTCACACAAATTTAACCCAAGGCCTACACATCATTAACAGACCCCTTCACAACCCATGACGGGATAATCCCATCGTGGGTCCTCAAGGGGTTAAACAGACTCCCGACGACTCTGTTCATACCTGTAAAACCGGCCTGCGGCTCGTCCAAATCTCCAACTACCCGGCAGTGAGTTAGTTGGAGATTTTGACGAGTTGGAGCTTTCAATAGAACACCGGAAGTACTGGATGCTGAAAGGTAAGTGGGGCTTCATCATCAGCATCTAATCCCACATCTGGAGAGGCAGTGAGATGTTCCTCTACGTGTCTCCTGTTGTCTGGTCCACCTATACAAAGTAGGAAACAGGGAGATGTAAAAAAACAGGTTTAATGAGTTTTAGGAAATGTGTAAATGTTCAAAAAAGCAGAAATGGTTCTGTCATTAAATTTAGGACCTGGTGGGAATCCAACTCTACGTAGAAATACAGAAGAACCTGCTAGGGACTAGGAGTGG